ATCTTGCCATAATGAGTTTTATGTAAATAAATCTATGATTCTGTATAAATATTAATCTTACTATAATTTTTATTGCTTAATTAAATCATCCATCTTTATTCCTTATTTCAATAAACAAGATTGAAAATGTGAAGGACATTCACTTGTTAAAATTAGAGTTGTGTTCTATTTAAGTGCTACTTCAAGCACAAGATGATGATAATTCATATTGTTGGGAGAACTATAATAAAACATGCTTCAAATATTAATTTTTTTAATATAAATTAAAATGGAAAGTTTATGTAAATAAATAATTAAATAATATATATAATATTCATTTTCATAGGAAAATATGAAGATAAATTTAGTTATTAACTTTAAGTATTATAATATATCCAAAATTAATAATTTATCATACTATTGAAATTTTTGATAAAATGATTTTCTTTATACTATATAGAATAATTAAAAACAGTAATATATTGGATAAAGATTACGTTACTTAAAATGATTCTTTTATAAAAATCAAAAATTAATTTATATGAAACTATAAACATTCAATTTATTCTTATCTAAGAAAAGGTTCTGATTTATCTATCAATTGTATCTAACTAAATTTATTATAATTTATTACTATAACTATATCAACTAAAGCCTCTATAATGACAAATTTAGATTGTTTTATTTAAGTAGTTTTCAAATATAAAATTTATTATTCTTAACTCATTACTCTATTTTTTCTAAAAGTATTGGACACATAATCTTAAAGTTTCTTTTCTAGGATTAATAAGAATGTTTCAAATTCCTTTTAGTTATTTTCTAATTTTGTATATTCAACTAATAATGCATTTTTAGCTTTGTTAATTTTATCATATTCTAATTTCAATGATGCTATTTTTTATTCCAATTATCTTTAACTTTAACTTTTTTCATTTTATTCTATTTATTTTTATACTTCACTTGTTCTATGAGTTTTTTATAAATCTTATAATTCATTTTATAAATCTGATATAGTTTAATCTCTAATTTATAATTTTTAGATATACAATTATTATTCTGACTTCAATTATGATAATTCTTATCTTAATTTTTATTCATTTCTATAAAGTTAATTTGTTTTATTATTTAATTCACTAATAATATTTTCACAATTATCTAATTTAAATGATTTTTGTATATTTAAGAATATTTCTTATTTTTAATTTAATTATTCTTATAATTCAATAATAGTATTTCTATATAATTGATTTTCTTATTTTAAATTATCTTCAAATAATTCAAATGATTAAATAGAGATTTCTAAATTCTCTATAACACTTAAATTATACTAATTTTCAGTTTACAAAGATTTCAATTCTTATTCTAAATGTTATTATTAAGTTTTTAGATTAGAGTATTATTATGTCAATTAATCATATTCTCTTTTAAAATCATTATTAGATTTAATATTAATATTTTCAGCTTCTAATTTTTATACCCATTCTAATAATCTATTAATTTCTAATTGTTATTATTCAATTTATTAATTTAATTAATTTGTTTCAATTTAGAATTATTAATTATTTTAATATATTTCTACATGAATTTATTCTAATTATAATCTCAATTAAGTATTATATTCAATTTATTATTATAAATCTTAATCTAATTTTTATATATTTTGATTCTTTTCTTCATAAATAGTAGATTAATGTTATTAATTTTAAAATAATTACATTTACATTTATTCAATCTTTTCAATATATTGTTAAACTTCTTCTTTTAATTTATCATGTTGATGTTATAATGACAATTTAGAAACCTCCATTTAATCTAAATCTTCTTTTATTTAATCATAAAGATAATCTTTCATTTTTATTTAATCTTCAAAACCTTTTAATGTTGAAGCCAATATAGTTTTATGTGCTTATTATTAATCAATAATATTTTATTCTAATTCCTTTTTCTTTTTTTGTAATTTATAAATTACATCTTCCTATTGTAATAATTATATTTTCAATTTATTTTAATATTCAATATTTTCATTCAATGTTTAATAATTAGTAGTTTCCTCTTCTTTAAATGATAAATTTAATGATTTTAATATCTAAATTATATAACTCTTCTTTTCAGCATACTCCTACAATTATCCCTCAACAGTTTCTAATTCCATTTATATAGCACTTTTATGTATTTGTTAAAGTAATTTCTAAATTTCATCAAATTACATATGTAATTAAGATTATAATGCATCACTTGGTTAAACATTTTCTAATTCTCTTGATTTCTTAACTAATTCTTCTTTAAGTTATTAAATCTATAGATTTAATTTAGTAATTTCTTCTCCTGAATACTCTTTATTTACATGTGCTTTAACTTTTATTTATTTAACTCTTTCTGCAAATTTTAAAGTTGAAATACTTTCCTCTTCATGTAATGGATTAACAGCAGCTACCATAAATGTCTTTGAATTCCCTCCTAGTGAATCTTTCAATAAAGTAGTAAGTTTAGAATCTCTAAATGGAATATGAATTTTATTATTTCCTTTTTCTCTCTCTACAATTGCATAAATAACTAATCCAAGCTAAGTTAAACTTTTATTTATTGCTTGAGTTTCTTTCAATCTTTATCCTTCTGTTTATGCTGTCTTCTAACGCTCTGATCCAGCCAAATCAACAAAGTACATTTTTGAATATAAATGCACTTCACATTTTTCTTATTAAATTGAAGTAGAATATTGAATTAAAAATACTGCATGACTTCTTGAACTTTCACTATTCATCTTAGTAGCAGCAATATGTCTATTTGAATTGCCCTTTCTTAATAAGGCTATAGCTTCATCGTAATTTGATATTACTGTTGCATTCAAATTCTCTACATAAATCCCTTTCTTTGGATCCTCTCTTATTTATAAAGAATTTTAAGATGATGAGAGTAAATCAAATATTTACTCATTATAGATTTCTAAATAAGAACCTTTGATTATAACATTGTGATCTTCAATAGAACAAGCAAAAATATATTGTAAACATTATGGAAGTAATCCATCATTATTACCAATTAAGGTGTGAGTTTTGCCACTTCCTGTTTGACCATATGCAAAAACACATCCATTATAACCTTGTAAGGCATTGTTAATCAGTGGTTGACCTATTAATGTAAAGACATCTTATTATGAAGCCTTTGGAGGAATCACATGATCATAATGATATTGCTTGTTAGATATCTATAATGAAGTCGAATCACACTCGTCAACCTAAATACAACCCTATTCAGGCTTTACTCTTACTATAACTTAGATGTTATTTTGACGATATTCTAACATGTATATTTTATAATTTGAATTAAAATCAAATATAATGCTAAATAATTAGATTAATTTCACATTCTCTATTATTATTTTTCATTTATTTAAATATGTAACATCCTTTTAATTACAAAGCATATTTAATTTCACAAATGAAATGACAGTATTGATCAGGTGCCTTATTAATTTATTTATTAAAAAGCACAAACAAAACATTATTAATTATTATTTAATTTTAATAGATGCAAATTTTTATTAAGACTTTAGCTGGCAAGAAGGTTTCATACAACATAGAAGCTGATAATACAATTCAATAACTTAAAATGCAATTATAAGAAAAAGAAGGAATTAGCTCAGAATAATTTAAGGTATGCATAACAGACATTAAATAATTTAGCTGATATTTAAGGGAAGACATTTATAAGAAGAATATAAAATCTCTGATGCTTAAATGTCAGCTGGAGACACAGTCCATATGGTCATTTAATTGAGAGGTGGCTTTTGAGCATATAATGATATATTTTTTATAAATATCGGCATAAATACATCTATATTAAATATATATAATTCTTTACTATTGGATCTTAGAATTACTTTCTTTTAAACCTTTTTCATTAATTCATAAAGTAAAAGCTAATTTTATAATTTTTAAATGCTTTTATTGCATTCAAACAATGTTTTTAAGAATAATATTGAAAGTATTAAAATCATTTTTGATTGATGAAGTTTGTATCTATAATTTTCTATTTGAATAAGTTAAACCTTATATTCTAGTAAAAATAATAGTTTTAGCTCTAATATTTAATATTTAAAGTTTAAATAAAATAATTTTATTTCAATAATTCAGAATAAATCTACTAAGAATTATGACATAAAATACTTGAATTTAGAGTAAATATAATTTAATAAAGATTCAAATTATAATTATAAGTTTAATTCCACTTAAATATAAGCTCAATCAGAAAATATGACTGCTTTTAATATTATTTTAATCAAAAATTAATTTATTTAAGTCAAGAAGTAATTTTTACCATTAATATCAATTTATCTTCAATAAGATTTCTCATGATGTTGAAGCTGTATTTAAATGAAAATTTAGAAGAATATATTAATTTTCTAAATTACTAAATTTAAATTTATATTTTGAACGACCTACTTTATTCAATCAAGAATGTACTAAATCATATAATATTAATTGATAATAATTGTATATAAGAACCAGAGTATTCCTTAATATTTCTTTGGGAAAGTTAAACAATACATTTTAATATTTTTAGATTAAAAATAAATTCTGACTTATATATTAAAGATACCAATAATAATATTGAAACTTCAGTGATACAATAGAATTTAAAATAGATACAGCCATTCCTTATTAATAAATATTACAAACACCTCTCCTTATAAACGATATATTCTAATATTAGCGAAGTAATCTAATCTAACATTTATTCTCTGTTTCAAACACTAATAATCACTATAGAAAGTTGACTCTTTAATCTTAATAAAAAGAGAATTTTGAACAAAAAAATATCTAGATATTCTTTATTGCAATTAATCAAAAATTATTCTGATATCTAAGTGAGAATAATTAAATCCTAGGTTGCTGATTGAGAAGAACTTTTAGAATCATTAAGATAATTTATTTTCTTATTTATTCGCTTTTATTAGTTCTCCCATTAAAATTATTTAAGAAATATTTTCGACCTCTAAAGATTATTTAAAGAGTAATGATATGTTAAATTTGTAAGTTTTTCCTTCTTTAAATTATTCTTAAACATAAAGTTATAATGGTATAGAAACTAATAACTATCTTTTAAGATTTTAATTCATTAGTTTAATCTATAATATATTTGATATTTCATTTTCTTCCAATTATAATTTTAGATATTTGTTTACTCATTTTAATTTTACTCAGTATATTATATATAAAAAAATTAGAACATTAAATATAAAATTACCTAAATATGATTCAAGGAGCTTAGACCGACTTTATCCATGTATTTTATTGATATTATATTGGTTATAATAGATCTTAAAGAAATATAAAAAAAGTAAAAGGTACTCTGAATTACAAGAATTGCATATCTAATGTAAGATTGACATTTAACTTGATATAGGTGTTGTTGATGAATTAAAAGGGTATAATAAAGAAGAGAATTTCCACAAATTTTTTGAAGTATTGCAAAGTTCATTAAGCACAATTGGATCTTTTAAGTTTTTAGTACTTTGTCACAAACTGATCTATTAACTCTAACAAGAATTTGCCATTAGATTTATTTAAAATAAGCTCATACCTGGAGATGATACAGATAAGTCTAGATTGGCTATTTACTATTATAATTTTTTATTCAAATTATGCGAAAACTTTGATTACTATAAAGAAGTTATAGAGTTTATTGAAACTGACAATATCGAGAAATTTATGAAATATGAATTATTTGTTCAAATCCAAATATTATATCCTTTAGCTTAGATACTATAGGAATTGTCTTAAGTAACATATTCAATTTATTAGGTTGTAAAATTATTAGATTACTTACTTTGCAGAGAATCACCACTCCTTCTTTAATTGGGGACTTGCATTCTGAAAGATTTTTGCGTTATTTATAATTTCTTATCCACAGCTATGCAGGAATTGCAAAGTAGAAGTTGTTTATAAATGTCTTAGTATACATTTTGAAGGTTCCTATAAAAGAAGCAAAAGTGCTTTATCAAGTTTATCAAATCACTATTCAAATGACGAAATGCATGAAGAGATTGTAATAATTAAAACTCTACTCTAATTTTAAATAACCACATTACTTCATTATCACTATTGAATTGAACAAGAAAATCGAACTCCATATGTTAAACTCCATAAAACTCTCTAACATTGAAATTAGTATATGACATATATACATTTTTATATTCAAAGATTCACCTTCTTCTTCACTAAGTCCATATCTATAATTGAGCTTTCACTAATTATATCACATCGTACTTGGCTCTGGATAATCATATCTTTGTGTTAGATTATCACTTGCAATTTTTTAATCTCCTTTTAACATTATTCAAGCTCGGCTTTCGTCCTATTGTTTTTACGTCTTTATTTATTAGGCACTTTTATGTTACTCTTTAATAATTCATTCTCCTCCCTCAACAACTTAAGTTATGTCGCAACTATTTCTAACTCATTTTGAAGCCTGGCCAATTAGTCTTCCAATAAATGTCTCTCATTCAATACTGCCATGCATGAATCACAATACTCCATTTATTTTAAATTAAAATAAAATATCTAAAATTTTGACCATCTCAAAAATCTGTTACTCTTCCCCTTCCAATCCAATCTCCATATCTAGTTGGTTCAGGACCTTTAACTTTGAATCCTACTTCAGGTGGCATCCCATTTTTATCTAATTCATATGGTTTCTTTTCACTTCCACTTTATTGATTCTTGTTTATTTTGTATTTTTCAATTAACTCCTTTAATTCCTTTGCCTTCTCTATTTGTTCTTACACCTCTCCTTTTTCATTTTCTTTTAAAAATCCTAAAGGATTCATTAATTCATTCATTTATTTTTCAGAAAGTTGTGCACCCATAATACTTGAAGGTTTTGGGGGAACCTTCTTTTATGTACTTAACAATTATTTACAAACTAGCCTTAATTTCATTTAATTTTTATACAAAATATTAATTTTATTAATATAATTATGTTTAAACAACTATCATATTGAATTCTCTCTACCATATATGTATATATTATCTTTAACTATAAATAATTGGATTTTATATAACTAAAATATTTAGATAAATTTTAACTCTTATAGAAATATTGCTAATTTATGAGTGAAATTGTTAAATTAAATTTATGTAGCTTCGAAGTGGAAAATTAAATCAACCTCCAAAAAGATAATACATCTCTCCATATCAAATATTTTATAAAGAGCAACTTAAAATAATGTTGAGTTAAGGAGTTGGTATAAATATGGTTGGCGCTCAAATCTAAAAAGCATGGTCAGAAATGTCATCTGAGATGCATTAATATTATGAAGATTAATTTGAATAATGTGAAGATAAATTTTAAGAGTAGCTCATATACTTTTATGGAGGAGATTAAAGACATATCAACTAATTGAATGAACTCAAAAATATACCTTCAAAACCAAAAAGACCTCTTACTCCTTAATTTGATTATGTAATTAAAAATAGACATAAATTTTCATCTAAAAATTTAAATTGGAAATAGTCTTTCTCACTTTTGGTTGAAGAATATTGTAAATAATCTTAAAGAGTTCGAGAGTAATTAGAGGTTGATTTTGAAAGGAAATTGAAAGATTATAAAGAGGCAATAGAAAAATGGAATGAGTAAAGAATATTATGTAATTTTTAGAAAGTATGCTGAAAAGTATAAAACTTTAAAAAAAAATNTTATGTTACTCTTTAATAATTCATTCTCCTCCCTCAACAACTTAAGTTATGTCGCAACTATTTCTAACTCATTTTGAAGCCTGGCCAATTAGTCTTCCAATAAATGTCTCTCATTCAATACTGCCATGCATGAATCACAATACTCCATTTATTTTAAATTAAAATAAAATATCTAAAATTTTGACCATCTCAAAAATCTGTTACTCTTCCCCTTCCAATCCAATCTCCATATCTAGTTGGTTCAGGACCTTTAACTTTGAATCCTACTTCAGGTGGCATCCCATTTTTATCTAATTCATATGGTTTCTTTTCACTTCCACTTTATTGATTCTTGTTTATTTTGTATTTTTCAATTAACTCCTTTAATTCCTTTGCCTTCTCTATTTGTTCTTACACCTCTCCTTTTTCATTTTCTTTTAAAAATCCTAAAGGATTCATTAATTCATTCATTTATTTTTCAGAAAGTTGTGCACCCATAATACTTGAAGGTTTTGGGGGAACCTTCTTTTATGTACTTAACAATTATTTACAAACTAGCCTTAATTTCATTTAATTTTTATACAAAATATTAATTTTATTAATATAATTATGTTTAAACAACTATCATATTGAATTCTCTCTACCATATATGTATATATTATCTTTAACTATAAATAATTGGATTTTATATAACTAAAATATTTAGATAAATTTTAACTCTTATAGAAATATTGCTAATTTATGAGTGAAATTGTTAAATTAAATTTATGTAGCTTCGAAGTGGAAAATTAAATCAACCTCCAAAAAGATAATACATCTCTCCATATCAAATATTTTATAAAGAGCAACTTAAAATAATGTTGAGTTAAGGAGTTGGTATAAATATGGTTGGCGCTCAAATCTAAAAAGCATGGTCAGAAATGTCATCTGAGATGCATTAATATTATGAAGATTAATTTGAATAATGTGAAGATAAATTTTAAGAGTAGCTCATATACTTTTATGGAGGAGATTAAAGACATATCAACTAATTGAATGAACTCAAAAATATACCTTCAAAACCAAAAAGACCTCTTACTCCTTAATTTGATTATGTAATTAAAAATAGACATAAATTTTCATCTAAAAATTTAAATTGGAAATAGTCTTTCTCACTTTTGGTTGAAGAATATTGTAAATAATCTTAAAGAGTTCGAGAGTAATTAGAGGTTGATTTTGAAAGGAAATTGAAAGATTATAAAGAGGCAATAGAAAAATGGAATGAGTAAAGAATATTATGTAATTTTTAGAAAGTATGCTGAAAAGTATAAAACTTTAAAAAAAAATACTATTGAAATATATAAAAAGTAAAAAAATGAAAATGAATTTGAATACAAAGAATTATAATTTGTCAGAACTGTTAAGAAAATGAGTTCAAATAAAAAAGATGAATAGACATAAAATTATAGTGCTTGTAAGGATGTCAAGAATTCTAATCTAAAAAATGAGGATTTTGGTTTGAGAGAGGCGGATACTAATATTGAATAATTTGCAGAAGAGAGCTAATAAATAAGATCGAAAAAATCGAAGAAGGCAAGATGACAATAAACAAAATATTTTGTTTTTTAATTTTTTTGCGAAAATTTATCTTCTATTAATTCTTAGTATGAAATTTCGATTCTATAAAGAAGAATCTTACAGTATATCATAAAAACAATATCATTCACTATCATTGTCTTGTGTTTTATGTTAAGCAAAATATTGTCGAGCATACTGTTTGGATCTCAAAATACCCGTTTCTGAAAGGCACTTAGTCTTTTACGGATTGAATTTTTGATGATGCGATCTTATAGTGTTCTAATATACCTACACTAACTTGGAGTCCTTGTGCCTACAATTTAACTCATTTTCTTAAATAATCTTTATCCTTTAGTATGATTTTTATTATCTTAAAGAAATTTAAGATAAGTTTTATGTTCTATTTCATTCCAGTGTCCTTATTTTTTCATGATTTTCTTTGAATCGGATAGGAGTTCATTAGATTATTTCGTTGCTTCAGAATCATTTTGTGCCATTAATTTAGAATTAAATTAAGAAAATATTTGAACAGATTGAGTAATCAAACACTCTGAACTCTTTATTAATTATTATTTAATTATTTTTTAACTGCTAAAAAAATAAATGGGTATAACATGCTCTTAACCCAAAAAATCAACTTTGACTATCACCATAAGTTAAGAAAATGAAGATCCAAATTATGAGATCAAAAAGCTATTAAGTGAAGAGAGAATAACAAAACTTCGAAAAACATTTCCATCTCCAACAAAAACATATGAATCCTATTTCCTTAGTTAAATTAATAATGATAAAACAATGAATATTAATAGATGCTGTGATGAAGAAAAATTTCATAAATCAAGTAAATTGGGTGTTCCACTTATTTGTTGAGGTTATTGTATATCTTGCATTAAATCAATTAAATTATCTTATTATTTTTATTACTAACTATAGATTGGAGTTTCATAAATGATAACTGAAGAAGGACCATCTGTGAAATAATCAGAATAATCCATAATATTCATTTATTATTATTAATTTTGGTTTTCTTGAGAAGGTTTTTAATTAATATTATTTTCAAAAGAAAATAAATCTTAAGAATTAGTATTTTTATTAACTGTAATTTATTGTTGTTAATTTTAACTGTTGATCTAAAACTATTATTGATTATCAAAAAAATAATTAGCTTATTATTATTATTATTATTATTATTATTATTATTATTATTATTATTACTATGATTATTACTATTACTATTATTACTAATCTTAAGATTATTCTTATTGTGCTTATTTTTCTTTTCCTATTACTTAATCAGCCTTAGATTTTATAAACCCAAAAGCTTCATTAAATCCACTTTTTAAACTCTTGTATGCCTTATCTGCAATCTTTGTTGATTTTTCCTATTTGTTATAATAAGAATATACTCCAAATTATTTAGTTTTTGCTGAAATTTATTATCCAAATTAAACTGCCTCTTCTTTGATTTGAACTTTAGATATCTTCTCATCAATAATTGCAAACGCTTCTTTTGTTGATTTTGATGCTTATTCCCAGAACTATTATAGGCAACGATGAAGTACATTTTATTCTGGAGTGATATCTTGTTAAATTTAAGTTTATTATTGTTATTATTATATTTATGGTTTTGGGATCTCTTGTAGTGCTGTCCAATCAATAGGTTCTTCAGGCATTTGTGTTTCATTAACTAATGCTTTCATCTAAATAATTTTAAATTATTAAAGCTTACTCTTTCTCTATAATAATGTGCAGCATTTGTTTTCCATTTGTTTTAATCTGAAATTTAAATTCCATATTATTAGAAAAAGACTCTTAATTATTGATTTCCACCTAAATGCATCATAGCCAATTATTTATCAGTCCAGGAATCCATTTCAATTGATCTAACAAATGTAAGATGTACACCCATCCCTCTGTGAAAACCTGAACAATTGTAACAAAGATAAATTCCATAAGGTAAACTAGCCCATGTTGGACTTCCACTTTGACACTCAAAGCAATATCTATTTTCCCCAGTTTGTAATTTTCTGATTTATGCAAGAGCATTATTATTCATTTAAATTAATAGTTAATTTGTAAGTACACGTTTATGTATTATAATATTTGTAGTAGTATGTACAAATATAATTTAAATTAATGTTGATTCTAAACTCTTAGAAAGTTAGATGATAATAATTTTATACTAAATTATCATATTGTAGTCTAAGTAATATCTATTATAATTATCCAGTTTATTCTATTGGAAATGGCTTCTCTTAAAGAAAAATATTGAAATTAAAAATTGAGATGAGAAATCTATGAAATGATTTGATGAGATAAAATAGACATGCTAAACTAATCATAAAATATCATCGGAAACAAACCACACTATTATAGTTAATTTTCCTCTAAAGCTAACAATAGTTTGATTGACCACTTTATCGATGGAGTTCTAGAGTAGAATTTATAATATATTGATTGATATATCATTCTCACTTGAAAATACGGCGAAATCTATTAACACTAACTAAAATTAAGCATCAGAACAAAGCATAGAAGAGATTAAAAATACTAATACATAAATTTGGTGGGGAATATATTGATAAAGAAGAATAAGAAGGAAACAAATTTTGGACATTGTATTGAATATGTAATTTTAAGACAATCATGCTTGTGAGATGAATTTAATCGCATTAATTCATAATGAATAGATGATTCTAATGAGTTGGAATTAATTAATATAATGCAGGGGGTAGGGAGATAAAGAGAGTTGTTAGAATAATTAGAATTTGAACTTAATAGGGAATTTAATTAGTTAAAGAATAGGATTATTTGACTTCTATAGATGGAGTCCAAAAGTATATTAAGTTCTATAGAGCAAGTCTATAATAATATATATATATTGTTCACACCGGGGTATTGAAAGGCATTGTTTGATTGCAAGATTTTTAAGAATTATTTAATACATGATTAATATCGAAGAGTGTCCAACTTTAAGACCTACTCAGTAAGAGTTTGAAAACTTCTATGAATACATTGAGAAAATTGATAAATAGTATTCTGCAGACTTTGGTATGGTGAAAGTAATTTCTAACATTTGAATAAATAACAGGTCATTCCTCCTAAGAACTTTAGAGTTCGTTTACAGGATTATAATGAATCAATTGATAATCTTATCATCCATGGTCCTATTGAGTAGAATGTTTATGGAAAAGGAGGTAACTATGAATGTCTTCACATACTCAAAAAATCCATGCCATTAAAAGATTACAGAAATAAACAATTAGAGATTGATAAATAACATGAAAAACTAACACCTGATTAATACGAGAAATTATATTGGAAAAGTTTAGCCTTTAGTCCTCCTTTATATGGAGCTGATATTAAATTATCATTAATGGAAGTAAATAATTCTTGGAATTTAAATAATGTTACCAGTCTTTTAAATTATGGATTAAAGAACAGAATACCTGGAGTGAATGAGCCATACATTTATATTGGTTCTTGGAAAACATTTTTTGCATGGCATAAAGAGGATTTGGATTTATGCAGTGTCAATTATCTACATGTCGGAAAAGATAAGTATTAAAATTTATTAAATTATTCAGATTTTGGTATTCAATTCCTGAAACTGATAGTCATTTATTAGAAAAATATGCAAGGTAAACCTATGGTGATCATTTCAATAAATGTTCAGAATTTTTAAGACATAAAACAACAGTAATAAATCCTTATTTGTTGAAAGAAAAAGTTCCAGGAATTCGTATTTCAAAAATGGCACATCATGAAGGTGAATTTATGTTTATATTTGCTGGAGCCTATCATTAAGGTTTTAATTGTGGATTCAATATTGCAGAAGCTGTCAATTTAGCCACTCTAAATTGGTTACCTTTATTACTAAAGGCTAAAATATGCAAATGTGTGAAAGATAATGTGAAAATAGATTTGATAGCATTTGCTGAAAATTTATAAAAGTCAACACTATTTAAGGATAATGAGAAGGTTTTAGATTTTGTTGAAAAAGCAAAGGATATGTAAAAAATATTACACAAACCTATAAAAAAAGTGAAGATGTGATTTAATTAAAATAACTATTATGGAACTTGAAATAGACTCTATATCTAAATTTTTTTTTCTAAATCAATTCCTTCTTTCCCTTTAGATTTCCATTCTGATTCTTAAATTATCTGTTATGTGAAATTCTTTTAATCTATTGAAATCTACAAACTTAAAAAATGTATTTAGTTTCTAATTTTGGTCGATATTGTTAATTAAGATCATAATAACATTGTTAATATGGATTGAATGATTTATATTATCTTTAGTATTAATGTTAGAAAATTTAAAAAATTAGTTTACACAAGTAAAAATAAATTTGATAAGCAATTTTTAATACACAATAAGCCTTTATATTACAAGTACTTGTTGTTAGGAATAAATGATGATCCAAATAGACAACATATATTAACAGATCTAAACAGAATTATTTAGCTGATTTATTTTGTTTAGAATTTTATTGAAGTAAGTTGCAAATTAAATAGAATCTATTAGATAAATAAGTATATAATATAGGTTAATTAACTATTAATAAATAAAAAAATTTAAGAATAATTTTATAATGCTCAATTATTAACTAAATTCATAACTGGGAAGGTAGAACTTAAAAGGAATCTAATTAATCATCAAGCATATTATTTTATAAAAGTTTCCTGATTATATGAAAAAAAATGGTAAATCTTTATACATTTCCCAGTGATATCCTTTCATTAAGAGGAGTAAAGAAGAAAAGAATAAAAATCTTTAGGAATAAATAGATATGATAAATAATGATGATACCTTATCAGAAAATAAATAACAAAGAATCACTGTTAAAAACATTTTAATAACTAAAAAGCTTGATATTATAATAGATAGATAATTCGGAATCAATTTTCATCATCATCTGATAAATCTTCTTTCTTTAGATTTTGAAATGGATCAATTTTATAATTTTTATCATAGTTAATTTTTGGTAGCAAATCTGAATCTTAACTATCTCCAATTATATTTTATTATTTAATTGACTAAATGATAGTGTTAAGTAATAATACCTAAAATAAATCTTTGACATTTTTCTTTAGCAAAGGTTTGCTAGAGAGTTTAATTTATTCAGTGTTAAGTTTGTCATAGATTGCTTACTCTAGCACATTACCATTGATTGGGATTGTATAAATTGAATGTTTAGACAATATTTAGAACTCATCAGAGAATTGACCTGATTTATCAGTTGTTATTTGAATGAATACTTCTCTCACTAATCCTAAAGAAATCTAAAATAGAAAATATTATAGATATTTACAGATCCCATTTATTTCATGAGTACTTTTATATTACTATTTGTAGGCTATTTTAAAACAATTCTTTGTGCCATAATATCTTCATTTTTTACATTGATTTTATATTCATATTTTCCATTTTATCTAAGTTCTCCAAATTATACAGTAATAGGATATATTAATAAGTCTTTTTTTAATCTATCATTTATATCTCCAGTAACCATAAGATTCTTTTTATCCATAAGTTCATCCAAATTGTTTTTCTTATCAAGAGTTCTAATTATAGTTTAATGCATGCCTTCATTTCTTATTTGATTAACAGGAACAGCCTATTGATATACTCTAGTAGCCATAGAACTTATTTTGACACGATTATCAGTAGTAGCATCTGTTAATATATATTTTTGATTAAGTTCTAATTTTGGATTAGTCTTTAATAGACAAGGTACAAGTTTTTTATCTTTTCTTTCTTTTCCATAAACATCAATATCTTTTCTTTTAGACATTCTATATTTTATTGATTCATCATTTAATTTCTTTTATCTTATTTCCTCATCAATTTCTGCCTATGTAAAAACAGATGGTTTAATAATGACTTTTGTAATATTATTATATTATGGTAATGGAAGTTATTCTAAAGGAACAACACCTTCTGGTTAATTTTCAAATTATTCTATTTACTATAATTATTATGGTTCATCATTTATTTAAACTACTTTTTATCTTTGTTTTTTAATGGGTGGATTTTCTGGAGCAAATTTCAAATATTCTATACCCTCATTAGTTTCAAAATAGTGAGTAGCAAATCCTTTAACTTCAGTGAAAGGTTTGAATTATTTTTAGATTTAAATAGTCTAAGCTTTTCTTGATAAATCTACAAATGCTTATTAAACAGTTTATTATACTCTAGCACTTTTGAGTAGAGTTTATTCTAAAGGTTCAACTGAAGTAATTTATTATTCTGGTATTTATATTTTGCTTTTAGCTTAATCATAAGATTCAGTTGAATAGTCAGTCCTTCTACTTTCTAATATTTTCATTTATATTGTAAATTCAATTTCTTTTTCTTCCTCTGTTTTTTAAAGTATTCCAAATTCATTTTAAGTTTTTAATAAATTCTTTTACCAAGTCTCAAATTTTTATAAAGAAAGTTCATGATGAATTCTTTCTTCTTTTTCAAAAGGTGGATATTCCAAAAAATTACGATAAGTAAATACTCTATGTGCAATAATAGTTGTTTTTTATATAATTTTAGGTACTATATCTAAAGTTTGAGGAATTTTAACATCAATGAATTTCTTATTCTATTATTTCAATTCAGTAATAAAAGATATGGATTTTACATTATTAGGTAATTCTTCATTTATTTTAGTACAAAAAGCATTTTCTGATTTTAATCTAAAATAATCCTATAATTAATATTAATTATAGAGTTCAATTCCTGTGTTATCATTTCTAACCAAAAATAATCTAGGAGGAATCCACTATTTAGGAGTAGGTAAAACTTTATTATCTTCATCTACAAAGATACCATCTGGAATTTGATCTGGAGTATAAGGTTCTTAATTTTATGGTGATGTTGTAGATAATTTAGTAACAACATGACCATCCTCATCAATTTCAAAATAGTTTGATTCATCATCTTTAGTAAAAATACATTTTCTCTCCAAATCTATAGTATAGACTCCTGATTTTCTATCCTCAGAGGGAGAATATAATTATATCCAATAATCAATGTCTTAACCAAATTGTCTTCTCTCACCTTAGTTATTTAATCTAACTCTTTCTTCTGCTGTAATAATAACTACTTCTTCATCAGCAACACATTTGCTCACACATCCATCTTATGTGTAAAGAAGATGAATTCTATTAGTTTTGTATTATTTTGAATCTGGTATCTCTTACTTTTCAAGATATGAAATTACTTTACATCCTTAATAAAATGTCTCAACTATTCTACCATCATTACTTCTATCAAGGATGTTATCAAAACCAACAGTTATATTATTTTTTTTAATAATAGTTCCAGATCTTTATTTAGCTTTATCAATGGTAACAACTACACTTGCAAAATTGGGATGTTCTACAATAATTTTATCTCCTTTTAATAACATTATGGTTCCATCTTAATGTTATGTATATTAGTAGCCCTCTTTATAGTAAATAATTAAGGTTTAATCATCTCTAATATACACTTTAGATCCACTCTCAGGATCTGTTCTGATTGCACAAGGTATCTTTTCTACTCCTTTTGGAGACTATCTATAACCTTTATTATTAGTAGTAATCCACATATTATTTTTATACTAAGAAACATTACCATTAGAATATAAAATAATTATTGAACCATCTTTTTTATATATAATCACTGAACCTTATCCAGTGATTACTCTTCTAACTTCCTATTCAGAATTCATATCTGTATTGTCATAAAGATTAAATTAATGTTATGATTATTCTTAAACTTTTTGATGGTGATATTATTAAACAACTTCTCCCAACTATGTAAATCGTAAACATAAACCATTTTTAAATGTTAAATTCATTATTTAATCTTAAACACTCATTCTTGGTTCCTTAAATTATGCATAAAATCCACATTAAATACCAAAGATAACATTCTCCTTAATCACTCTATATCTAAGACGTTCTTTTTCACCAACAGTAAATTTAGTTGCTAATATTAAAGAATTATCTGTAGGATACATAATTTTACATCTTTCAGTAATAGCTCCAATTTTTTGATAATCAATATCATAAAAGTAATCACTATTAAAATTTCTTACTTAAATAAAATATTCAAGATTTGGTAATACTCTCCATTCAGCTGACCATTTTTTCCTTAAAGTTCTTCCAGGAGGGTTTTTATAATAGCAACATATCATAAGAGCATCATCATCTGGTAAATATTTCATAATAACTTAAGGATCATGCAATAAAGCTTCATAGAATTTCTATCTTAAAGTATTTCTATTGTGTCTTTCCATATAAATTCTATCACCAAAATGCCATTCCTTTTCAGGTTCATTTTCCTTTAATAAATCTTCAAATTATAATAATAATTATCTTCTCTCAAATTCATTGACATCAACATTAACAAATGGATGTAATTTAGCTTTAATTGCTTTTCTCATTTTTTCAGATTTTTCTGGAATTTCAGGCATACCTTATCTATCTATTCCTGGATAACAAAGATTATCAAATATCTTATGTTCTCTATCAACAACCAATTATTGATCATGTAATTAAGCAAAATAAGCTCTCATTTCAATCCAATCACATTCATCTAATATTAATTATTTAGGTGATTCTGTAACTTAATCCTACTTTCTATTTTTAATTGATTCATTTCCTTAACCTCTTAAATTAGCTAAAATTTTGTTAACTTAATCTGAATCATCTTAATCCTCAAGACTAGGAGGAATTTATGAGTTGCTCAAATAAGTAGATTCAGCTTATAATTAATCTAATAAACATTCTAATAAAATTCCTGGTCCAATTTTTTATAATTGTACATCAGATAATTGTCTCTTATAATATTATAGATGTAATTTAGTTTTCATCTTCAATTATTAATCAATAGCATCCTAAATTTATTATTTTCTTAATTCATTTAATCTATGTTTTTCAGCTTCTGCTTATCTTTCAGCTTCTAATTCAGCTTCATTTTTCTTTGCTTCCTTCTTGGCTCCCTTTTTATTTTTCTCAGCTAATACAGCTTCTTCTGCTGCTTTTTACTATTCTTCTACTAATTAAGCTTCATGTTATATTCTTTCAATTTCAAGATCAAAAGGATCTTTTGGAGCTTCTTTATTTATTAATGGGATTGGTTTCTTATTGGTTATCCATTCAGCATATTATTATTGATCTATACTGAATTAACAAATTTCTTCAAAGATGGTTTCATAGAATTGTTTAATAGTTTCCTCTTCAGCATCTAGATCCATATCTAATATAAGTTCTTTGATAGTCAATTATCTTAATGGATCAGATGGTTAGGATGAAGCTCTTGCTTATTTAATATCATCAATAACACTTCTTTCACTGGCAGCATAATTAAGTGATTCTTCTGAATATTGACGTTTTATAGTTGGTGGTGGAACAAAATCTTCCATTCTTTTTTCAAAATCATCTTAGAATTCTTCAGGTTATTCAGTTTAATTTATTTCAACAACACCCCAATTAATCACTCTCTCTTTAACATGTATAATTAATTCTATCTATTCCTAAGGTACTTGAGGAAAACCTTATACAATGAAAACCAAATCGAAATTTTTAGGATACTCTTTTTCTGGAGTAACCTTTTCAGGTTCTACAATTGGTGCAACTGTTACAGCTTCTTTAGCTCCTTTTTTAGTATCTTTCTTATCATCTTTCTTTGGAGGAGCTGCTTTTTCAGCAGCTTAAGCTTAAGCAGCTAAATATTTAGCTTTTCGAACAGCAAGGACTTGATCTTGAATAAATAACTAAAATGCTTTATTCATAACTTCAGATGTAAGTTCTGTTGCAATTTCAGCCATGAATTTAGGATCCTAAAATATTATACTAATTTACCTTCTTCTATTTATCAGTCAAAGTGGTAGGATCAACATATAATTGTTTTTCTTTGCAAAAAGCTAAAATTTCATCTCTTTGAATATTCTTTTAAAATGATTTGCAAGTTTTAAGCATGTTAAGTAGTTTGGTTGCTCTAGATTTGGCTGCTTCAATCCTTATATTGACACATAGATGTTTGAGAGGAGGTAAAGCATTCAAATCAATTTCCTCTTTTTTAGGTGGCATAATTTAATTATTTTTATATATGTTCACTTCTTTTTCTTAATCTCTTGTTCTTCATTGTCATGATAGAATACAATAACCCATTTGTCTTCAGCAGTATTACATATAGCTAATCTAACAATTCTAGTGTTTTCTTGTACTTATACTTCAGCCACTTAACCTACTCCACTGAATTAAGCAGCTAAAATATTTTAAGGATCAAGAATTTTAGCAGCATTATTAGAACGAGGTATATTCAAAGAACCTGTTTATAAGAATTTAATTCCTGCTTCCCATTTCTCAGGAAGACGATCTGCAAATTGTGGATAAGGTTCCTTTACATATAATTTTATATCTTCTGTTGTAGCAAAGAATGGACTCATATTATCTTTCATTGTTTTCTTATCTGAATGTGCATATGCATCTATAAAACGAGTAAAAAAATGGGATGCATTTTCTTTTATTTCTGCTTCCTTTTTATTTAACATCTTTTCCATCTTAAGTTACTTTTACATTTTTGATTGATATATTCCTTCAACAAATTCTCCTTCCCATCTATTACCTTCTTTATCAATGAACACACCTTCTCCATGCATTTTATGATTTACCCATTCCCCTTCATATGTACAACCTTCAGGAAATTAATAGAATCCAATTCCATTATGTCTATTATCTCGAAACTGTCCTCTATAAATTGCACCTGATTTATATATGTAAACACCTTCTCCACACATTTAATCATTCTCGAATTCTCCATTGTATTCTTCTTTCAAATCGTTGTCTGTAGACAATGAACCTTTTTATCATTCCTATATTTCATACTTGCTATCACTATTCGTCCCTTACCATGTTTCACTTTCTTACCTTCTATCAATTTCCATTGACCTTCATATACTGTACCATCTTAATATTCAAATCTACCTTAACCTTCTGTCTAAATTGCAGCTTCCACTACAGCCATTTTATATTAACTTAAATTATAAATTAAAACCAAAAATTTAAAATAGTCTTAACTAATTCATTAATATGCTCCCTAATTAAAATATATATTTAACATATTAAGTACTCCTATGTCTGTGTCCTCATAGGAATAATATATGGTTGAAACTATAACCAATAAAAGATTCAAGAATGGTCGTGTAGAATATGAAATAAAATGGTAAGGTTATTCTGAAAATGAAAAAACATGGAAACCTATTGAAAATCAATTATCTGTTATGATTTATATGTTAGATTTCGAATAATAATTAATAGTGATTGGCTCATATGATGATGGTGATTTAGCAGATGAAATTATATAATAAAAATAAATAATGATGGTTATTCCAAGTCAATTAGAAATAAAAGAATAGTAGAGTACAAAAAGTATAGTGGATTAATTAAAGTTCTCTTAGAATGCATAACCCAGATATTCTAATTGATGTTTTATTGAAAAAGATCAAATGGCCAAAAAGTAAATGAATAAATTATATATATTATATATATAAATAAATAAAAATGTAAATTATGGAAAGTGATTACAAGATAGATTTCATTACTGAATATTAGATGAAAAGAGCATATGAATAATTTAATCTATACTACACCATACCGTAATTCTTTGATTACTCTGATTTTCTAATGATTATCTATCCAACATATTTAATTATTTATAAAAATTTTGTAAAACAAGAATTAAGTTTTCAGCATATATATTTTCATCACAAAATGTAATCTTATTGATGCACAACTTCATTTCCAATTATGTTAATGATTTATAATCTTGTAATTCTTTATCCATATTTTTCAGTATATCCACACATTCTCTCACCACATTTCCTTTTTGCTTTTCTCTTCTATCTCTGGTGAAATATTATAGTCTTAGCTGTTGCGTATTTAATACCCAATATTAAGGCTGCCTAAACAACTCATAAACTTTTCTATTATACATCTTTTATTTTCATCCCCTACTTTTACACCATACAATAGAGTTATTGTTTAGTGTTTAATTTAATCTTCATATACTTTTTCCCTTTTTCTTCTAATATTTTGTGACATTGTGTATTTTTCATATCACTCTAAGATTTCTTTAAATCGTTCTAGAACTCTGAAACTAATCTACTGTCCATTTGCTACAATTAAGTCATCTATTCTTAATTTGCGTAAAATAAATTATTGACAACCTTTCGATCTCATAAATCGAATTTAAATTAGCAGATAAATTTGGAATCATCATATTTTCTTAGTTTACTCCATAGTGAAAACATGTGAGTAATATACAATTTATATAAATTAAGTAAACACTCTTTTAATCTATACACTATATTAGACAACGCTAGTAAATTAGATAAATGATTGATAAATTTCTAAATTCTCTACTGGACCCATTTGATTTTTGAAGTCAAATATAGTACTTTCAACTTGCAATCTATATAAAATAAAGAATATCTAATCAGAATAACTTTTTATCTATGTATTTGACTTATATGTTGGGTAATATACATATTATACATTATCAATCATTGTTAAATATTTAAAATTTTTGAAATTTTAAGTGAATACATTTAAGTGTTCATTTAATTCAGAATGATTCAGAAAGAAATAGAAGTATGACTTAAACCAACTTTAGAATCTATTTAGCCAAATATTCTTAACATTATTATTAAATTATACATATATATTTTATTCAAATTTAATTTATTATTTAATAAATAAATTAAAAGAATATTATTTACTTAGGCTTTAAATTATTAATTTAATTTTAATCAAGATCATCTCTGAATTAGAATCTAAATACATAATACTTGATATATTTTTGATTCTATTTAAATATACTTAAGTTTTTCAAATATCTGAATACATTTCAATTATTCATGTTTTGAATTTCCATTCTAATTAAAATCTATAAAATATCAACATAAAAAATATCATTTAATTAGTATAGTCTTATTTTTATATTAAATACATTATAAATTTTATTTAAATAATTTAAAATGAAGATGAAATAATTTCTTGAATGTGAATATGCACTATCAAATCGCATAAAATGTGCAACTTGTCATGTTGTCATATTTAAGAACGAATTAAAGATTGGACATATATTTTTAAGAAAAGATGAAGGTATAAATTCAATTTCAATTGTAATTAGGTCAATAGTTTGATAAGAAGATTTGGTATCATCTTCATTGTATTAAAAAATGGCCAACTGGAGAAAGAGGTTAAGAATTACCTCTCTTTAGATTGCAAACACTAAAAGCAGAAGATCAATAGAAAATTAAAGAATTATACAGGTCCTTATAAGATAAACCAAAAAGTAATTTTCATTTACTAATTAAAAGATAAAAAGGAAATCAAAATCTTATCTAAGTAAGAATAATATGAGAAATATGTGACTGTAAAGAATTTAAATGATCCAGGTTAAATTGAAGAAGATGATGATTGTATAATGCTTTGATACAAATATTTTCAGGATTTTATTATTATTATTATAAATTTTATAATGAAAATTAATTCATTATATGATTAAATAAATTATATATATATATATATTATAAATGTAATTGAATGAATTATTGATATATTAAGAATACTAAATTCATTAGAATAATAATGGCCACATGGATATTTGGATGATATAAAATTCTAATATTATGATAATTATATATTTAATATGATTTCTTTTAAATCTAAAGATTGAATAAATATTAGAATACTCAATTAGTTTGTAAATTAATTCTTGAATTTTTATTATTAATATTACTATTTGTTATAATAAAAAAACGAGATTTAATTTTATTCTTAAATTAATTAAAATTAAATCTCTTTAATTTAAAAGGAAATAAAAATAATTAAATAATAGGAAAATATACATAAAATACATCAAATTACAAAGAATAAGTTAATTTTCTTCATCAATTATTTATCCCATTTTTCCAATAATTTTAAGAATTCTCTACATTTTTCTTAAACTAAAATATCTTAACACATAGTTCCTATTCCTAATGTATTCAAATCATAATTGGATTCTGTAAATAACTTAGAAATTATATATATATATATTTTTATACTTTAAAAAACTCTTTAAATTAATGTTCTGTCTTTAAGCAATCCAAAAGTGTCTCATACATTTATAATAATTATAAGTCTTCCATACTTTTTTATAATTTCATCATTGCCAAAATATTTAGTAATTATGCATATTGTTATTCAGTAAATAATTCCTTAATTTTCATTCTTCTATACCCTTTGAATTATAAAGTTTGAGGCTACATAATATTAATATAATTATTATACTAAATTTCCAATAATTGAAGATGTATACTTTTAAAGTATGGATCTAACTTATAATTCATTAATATGAGATACTTAAATGAGATTGATTAAATTTTAAAAGAAATCAATATCATTTTCATTATTAATAAATAATGATTATTCTGTTTTAGATTCTATAATTTTTCCAGCATTTACATCACATAAGATATCCCACCATTCTCTACGATATTCAAAAATTGGATTAGAAACAATAGATATCCAACAATTTTATTATTCCCATCCTTTATCAAGTAAAGATTTGTAACCTTGAATATTCTAAATAATATTTAAAGGTGAAACAAGGAAACATAAGCTTAAAACAAGGTTACAAACATTAAAGTACTTTTGATATAAAGTCACTTTTTACCATATTATCTCCAATATATTTTTCTTAATTGCTGCATTCATGACAAAGGAATATGATTCTTTTTTATTACAAAAGAGCTCTATAAAGTATTCGAACTTTCATATTGAACTTTTCAAATAGATTTAATAATGAAGCATTGATTGTTAATCCATCTGCTCTTTTAGGATATAAATTGCCTAATTCTTTGGAAGAATAATCTAAAAGAGAATGAGAAAATTTATAATATGCTAAATCATTTGATAGTTAATTAAATCCATTTTCTAATATTTTTTCAATAATTTATGGATTACTATCAGCATCATTTATCCAATGATCAAGACCAACTTATTCAAAATATTCTTCTAAACATTTTTCAATTTTCTAATCACATATACCTAAAAAAAGTAAATCTGATGAACAAACAGCAATTGATCTAATTAAAGATCCTCTTTTAATTGTAGAATCCTTTTTATTTCTTAAACATGCTAAATAATAATTTTATGTAAATTTTCCTTTGATTCCATATATTAAATCAGGATTCAAAGTAATTGATACAAAATCATGTGAAATCACTTAGATTTAAACATTAAATAAATTAATATCTAACCATTCAGATTCTTTTTCTCCTCTAATTTTAATTACATTATCATCCGAATAACTTAATGTTTGATTTTTACTTTATAATAATGGTTTCCATTAATAATCAAAATGATATGTCTATACTTATCCAGGAATGAATTTAATATTTCCAATTCTAAAAAAGAATTTATCTTATTTTATTTTATGGACTCCATCAGGTATCATGTATGATGCTAATTCATGAAATCCTGAATCACCTGTTTATGGATAAGATGCAGTTATTACACATCCTATTAGATACGATTGAATGTGTTACCTTTGACTAAATCAAATTCAGCAGCATATAAAGCTTTAATCATAAAAGGTAATTAATTATAAAATACAATTGTAATTGCAAATGTCAAAATCAACAACATTATTTCTTTTCATTTTTATTTTCTTAAGTGTGATTGGATTACAATTAAATTGGTTTTGAAGATAATGATGTCACCTCTGAAATTGGTTAATCACTTCTACTTGTATTCTATTTCGAACTTGCTGGAGTTTTTTTAGTAGTTTTTATAGAATTTTTAAATGAATCACTAGTAAACATTCTCATTATCACTAATTTTACAGCTTCTACAAATGCCTAATATATTTATTTTGGATATATATACTTTTTCTACATTCTCTCCAGTCTTTGCAGATGTTTCAAAAAACAAACTAAAATTGTTTGTATTCATAAATTTTTCAGCTTCTTCCTTCTAAACATTACGTTCCATATCTGATTTATTTCCTACAAGAATTTTCACAATTTCTTCATGAGCACTCTCATGTAATTCTGTTAACCAATCTTATAACTTCTCAAATGAATCTCTTTAATTGATACTATATAACACAAACACAGCTGCTGCACCACGATAAAAACTCTTTATCATACTTCTAAACTATTCTTATCCTGCCTAATCAATCACTTAAAACTTATACAGTATCCCATATTTATAATTCCACTCTACGTTTATCAACTACTACCAATTTCTTAACAAATTCCACTCCAATTGTTGCTCTATTCATACCCTCTATAAATTGGCCTTCCGAATATTATTTAACAAAACTACTCTTGCCAACAGCTAAGTCTGACATATCCTATTACATTGATCTCCAACTACGATAAACTTGAACATAGGCACACTATCCTTATTCATTCCTATAATTTCTATAAATTATTAGATTTATTATCTTAATTAACTTAACCTTAGTAATTCTATTTTATTGTATATACAAACATTCCATATCTTTAATATTATGAATATAAGATATCAATTATCTTACATAAAATACTACTAACATAATAATTATAATATTATTCATTTTCTCAAAAATATATTAGTATCAATTATAAGTTAATTGAAAAAAATAAACTTTTATTTAAGATGAGAATATGTATCTCATTTAATATATTTTTTTATAATTCAATATATAACAAAAATAATAGATAAAAAAAACAAACACTTATGTCAATTAAATTTTTATAGATTTCTATAAAAAGGATACTTTATGTGAAAGTCTTTTGTTAATTCTTCTACTTTTTATAGACAATTCAAATAATCAATTAATTCAAGTTATCCAATTCTTAAGAGATTGCTTTACTAAATTAATACAAATAATATATTACTGTCTAAAATAATTAAATCTTTATCTTTTCTATTAAATGTGACATATGTATTTCTATATAATGTTAAATAGTATATCCTAAAATACTAGCAGCCAAAAGCATCTAATTGTATTGTGTTAATTAGTAATCATGATAACACATTTTTAGAATATAATTAGAAGTTTCTTAAATCATTAAGACATATTTACTAATATATAAAAAATTTTAAATACTTTTTAGATTAACCAAACAATTAATAACTTAGATATTATAGACAA